TGAAAAAACAACAGAAACGTTGACTTTAATGAAATGTATTATGTCAACAGACATCACATTACTGTATTAGGGTAGTTGAAAGCAATAATATCAAGTTGAACCCAATATGTTTTATTTAAACTTATTTGTATTGCTTTCAACTAACCTAATACAGTTATGTGAGATCTGTTGACATAATACATTTCATTAAAGTCAACGTGTCCGTTTTTTCAGTGCACATGCTGTGTTTTTAGTCCTTGAGTCAGGGTAGTCTTTTTTCTTTAGAATGATTTCCAGAGTGATGGATGCTTCAGTATCATACGCCAGAGGCCCAATGATGTCTCGTCTGCTTCACTTCCTCCCTTCCTCACTTTCTCCAGGTTACAACCTGCTAGGAGATAGAAAGTTGAGACAGGAAAGAGCAATAGGTCTGACTTTTATAAAGCGTTGTTTTGGTATTGGGTGCCGCCTGCTATACACATATGTGCGCTGTTATTTGATCACATTCTCTTATTCATTATTTTTTCTAAAAATGTTACAGTAAGAGGTGAAATTCTCCAGGCTTTCACAAGCTATAATTTATTATACAAATCACTGTGTATACAAATGATGATATTTTGAACATGATGTTAAAACATATTATGAGCATTTTATGAATGTATTAGATAACTAATAAAAGAGAGGTGATAGGGAATGATTGATGGCAACTAGAGTCCCTGGCTGGATTTACCAGAGACATAGAGACATGACTCCAGAGCTGCTGTATACCAGACAAAAACAAAAATATTACAGTGAAATAAACTCAACAATAAGCATTGTGCAGAATGATGTTGTTATTATTACACTCAAAGTCCACTTACTAATAAGACCATAAGATGTGTTTTAAGGGAATTGTATTAAACCTTGTTTCTTTATTATATTTCTGTTTTTCCCTGACTCCAGATTAGTTGTGTGACCCCTTAGGGGGACCTGCGCCTCAGGTTGTGAACCTATAGAGAGTTGAAAGGCCATTTGTTTCGAGAACAACTGGGATGTTTGCAGTTTGTCTGAGGAAAACATGCCACATGATGAGAGGGACATCTGAGAGGCTCAGGTGTGTGTTCTGTGTTTACGCTCATGTGTGATTCTTCCTTGCATTAAATGTGTGTGTGTGCGATGCAGGGATGTGCACGTACAGTGATTAGGTGATCTGCTTTCTCCCTTTCATGTGTTTTTAGTCTCCTCTGCTTTGTTCCCTTTCTTAATTACAGCCGAGCGTGTAACCCACTCCCCACTTCCACAGCAGCATCCCATTAAACACACGCACCCCATGCCTCCCCTCTACCTTTATGCAGAACACAATTAAAACACGAGGAGAGATCAAAAAGATGCCAGCAGCCTGACGAGGGTGATGTTTTTCTGAGAAATGCAGATTTGTCTTATTGATGGCTGCCCCGTTTGGATATCATTACGGGACAGGAGTAATCAGTGGAGCTGCATCAGCATTTAACACACACACACACACACACACACACACACACACACACACACACACACACACACACACACACACACACACACCACACACACATGGTCAGATGCTTTAAACTACGTATTTGAGTTATCTGCTGGCACAGATTATTAGTGACTTTGTGTTTTTTGGGGTTAGTACATTCTAGACTTGTTGTTGGAGTTAAACAGCTGATTGGCAGTGACAGGAGACCTAATATCAATTCATATTTTCATTACAAACATCAAAGGTTTTGTCAATATAAGCAAAGATTTCTTCCCCAACGTCAGTTTCAGTGTCCTGGAACATTATGTCATCCAATCAAGCCACCAAATCACCAAGTTTAGTCCTAAACCCTGAATGTTTTTTATGTTTGAGTTGGTGATATGTTTTCCATTTTGGTCACATTTTTCAGAAGTGCAACTTCACTTGAACCTAAAATCATACAGGCCATTTTATGTTGTTATTGCAGCTACCATTGGGGTCACTGAGGTCATGTCCTCAGTACTTTTACTAAGAATTGTATGGGATTCAAACATTGACAGGTTTCATCAAAAAAATATGACCTTATTTAAAATATGGCATTCCGATCAAAGGGTACTGTATGGCTTTGACACAGCATGAAGACCTACATGCTGGGAAATTCAATTGACAGAAAAATGTACTTGTAAGTTTATACATAAACAACAAAAAACAATAATTACAGTTGGGGACTTTATTGTTGGTCTAGTGTCAAACAGAAATATATGTTTATGGCTTGAAAAATATATGTCTTATCAAATCAGGTCTTCATATTTATGCAAAAATCCATATACAGTCCAACCGTGCCACAAAGCGTCGTTCTCATTGATTTGTGAAACCATTTGACCTTTAAACAGAGATGATATACTGTGACAGTTACCACGGTGTGAAGTGAATGAAAGCCGTGGACACATTTATTTAATTTCATGGTATAAACAATCAGAATGTCAACACCTATAATCCCCTCTTCAACTATTCCACAAATAAATTACTTAATTATAATTTTCAGAAATTGTTCCAATAAAACCTCTTAGACAAAGGGTTACAATTTAAATAGTGACAACATATCATGTATTAATAAGCTGATGCTCTAGAACTTGCTCCTTATTTCATCATCATTATTTGTTTTAAATGATCCAGGCAGTGAAAGTCTCACAACTGATCCTGAATCAGTGCAATTTAAAAACAGCACAGAGTCATTTAACCTTTGTATTCACTGTTACTGTACCTACTTGTTTCCATATATTAATAATGTATTACTGATAATACACTATGACCGTTAGTGACGCTTTGCCTTCAGAGTCTCTGTCTTTCAGTTCTCTTCCAGAGGATGTGAGTCTACTGCCCCCATGGTACAAGAAGGAAAATAAAAATGTGTGTGTGGGGGGGGTTGTGTGTGTGTGTGTGTGTGTGTGTGTGTGTGTGTGTGTGTGTGTGTGTGTGTGTGTGTGTGTGTGTGTGTGTGTGTGTGTGTGTGTGTGTGTGTGTGTGTGTGTGTGTGTGTGTGTGTATGTGTGTGTGAGAGAGAGAGAAAGAGAGAGAGAGAGAGTGAACTGTAATTCATTCAGTTTTACCTTTTTAAATAAATGTTCCATGGATGAATTCAATATTGGATTATTTTAACTGTGCCTTAACATGCTGTTGTTAATTATCATATTGCTAGTTTTCTCCTCCTCTGTGGTGATTATTGTGAACACACATTACTGAGAATATTCCAAGATAAAGCCCAGACCTCGGCCTGCATCAGCTCTTCTTCTTCTTCTTCTTCTTCTTCTTCTTCTTCTTCTTCTTGGCAGAGGAACAAGGCGCAGTTTGGCTCTTCTGGTACAAATAAATACAAACAGATATTTCCCCCTAATCTTACACTACCACCTAATATCATATTTCATACACGCCCGCAGACATGCCCCCTGCGCTATGTTTAATGTATAAACCCAGGCCTATAGCAGAGAGAAACGCAGATGATAAATATGCATGTATTCAATTAAGGGTATTACAGAGGAGCTGATTTGCATAAGGATTTGGGAGCTTAACATCATATTTGTGCTATAAAACTTCACAGTAGCCTAAACGCGAGCCGTTTTGCGCGTGGGGGGGTGGGGGGAGGGGATTGCAGGACAGGTATTTTTGGAAAATGCGAGGAAAATAAAAATAAATTATAAGGAACACATTTTAAAAATAATTTTGATATTGTATAATCGAATAAATCTGCAGCTCAAACATTGCTGCTTTATAATAACGAGAGGAATTTGAGCGGCTGGATGGATCTGGTTTTGAATCATTGAAGTGCTCGGATTGACTCACAGATCTCAGAGCAGTGTAACGCTCCCACACCGCTGGAGATACCGTTTTTTGTGCAGATGAATCCTCTCCTCCGGTCTCACATAAATCCTCTGACGACGAAGTCCACTTTCCCCTCCCAATTAAGAGCAGAGAGCTAATTAGAAGCAGCGGATCCGGGATCAGTTGAGCCTCGCGCTGTTCTGCTGTCTGTCTGAGAGGAGGTGAAGCCGCTGTTACATGTCATCAAGTGACAGAGAGGAGTCTGACTGGGGAACAGATAAATCAATGAATAAATAAATACAAATCAATGAAGCCAAAATGCAGAGATGACACCAGTGTCACCAAAATGGTTTTATGCAGTAACACAAAGTTCTACATAACAATCATGATGTGTTTAAACACGTGTATCAATAGAATTCTTTATTTATTTGTATAACTCTACAATCTCTTTCATTTATTGGATTTTAATATCTCTAAGGAAATGTAATTTAATAATCAGATTTTAAAGCCTCTGCTTTCAATCTTGTCAAACGAATATATAAGCAAAACTTAGTTTTGTAGCTACTGTGTAGTTTTGATTTGGAAATCAACTAAATGTACCTCTAAACATTAAACAATATTGAGTCAAAGTTGTGTTTTTGAGGAGCTAAATAAACAGTTTCAGAAAAACGTTGTTTTCATTTGTTTTGTTGTGCGCGTTTGTCCATTGACATTTAAAATACAAAATCAACAATCGGAAGTGAGCCGTGTTCTTTATTTCATGGCTGGTTTGGTGACTGCCTGCAGTTCTGCTCCAGCCTTTTGGTGCCATGGAGAGCTGAGCAGCAACAGTGTGGAGCCCATCTGTGCGTCACAGGAGGAAAGGTCCCAGCAGAGCTCCGCGCACAGCTCCAACACCTCAGAGGACTGAACCTGCCTCACTCTTCTTCTCTCCTTTCAAATAACATTCAGAGCCGCTCCGGACAGACGTCAGGTTGGCCGGTGGTCCCACTGCTTCCTCAGACAGCTCTGTAAAAGTAGAGTCAAACAGTTCGGTGGCGGCGGAACAGCCAATGAACACAAATGGTGCGTCGTGACGCAACAGGGCCCCGTTGATAAGGAGCGGAGAGTCCAACCGGGATCTGAGAAGGAGGAACGGCGGTTTTGGGGGCCAGCAAACACTTGCCTATCATCATTCAACGTAAAGCCAACTCCTCCTCTTCTGCTGTTACGCACATGCAATCTTCTTGGCCAAAGGCACAACATTACCCAAACAGACTGTAAAGGAAAACTGCTTCAGACGGCCTGCGGGATTGGATAAAGCTGTGCGCTGCTGTGTTTCCTGTTTTCCTCTGAAAAGTATTCTGAGCGACATCCATCAGCTGCTGGAAGCCTCAACTTGTACTGTTGAACCCGGAGGAGAAGCCTTCCCCCGGCTCCCTGACAGCTTTTTGGACATATATTTTTGTTCTATCTTACTGTGTGATGCTTTAGGAGGCTCCTTCCGGCTGTGGCAGTGTAGCAGAGTTGTTGTTGTTCTGCACAAAAAGGGGAGACATTTTCCAATGACTTGCAGACTGTCGAAATCCTGAAATATTAGTCCCGGCGAGGAGCAGATATCGGTGCTGAGACACATGCTGCGGGGCTTCTGTTATTGGTATGTTTATTCATCGTACATGGAAGAGAAAATATAGAAAAATAATTTGGTAATAAGAAAGAAATAACACCTTACCTTAGACTAAATTCGACTAAGAAAACCTAAATCTGTGCGGTTATTTATGAATTAATCATAGCTGATTAATAATGAGAGCTGCAGAGATTCGGATGACGATTTCCATTGGCAGATGAGACGTAGTGGGGAGAACACGTGTCCAATTTTCCCTCATATTTTTTCCTCCCTGATCTGGATTTTTCACTTGTCACGGCAAAAAAAGGAACCCCTAAAATAGGACTTGTGAGAGGCGTTTCTGCGCCGGCTTTCGCCTCTGATGGACATCTTGGCTTGCAGATCCGAAGAGAACAGTTATAATATCATCCCCTCTGCGGCAACCATGCTTTTCCATGGCCTCCCTGGAGGCGACGTGCACGGTGTGGTGGAAGAAATGGACCGGAGAGGAAAGAGCGAGTCAGCAGCCATCAGCTCGGCCATCGATATGGGGGAGTCAGATACGGTATGAGACTGTGGCCTCGTTAGGGCAGCACAACATGTGACAGAGCGGCTCAAAGCCGTTTTTAAAGTGTTTTTAATTGCACGTTTTCACTTGGGATCGATCATAGACAACGATATAAAAATAAATTAAAAAAAAAAAAAGATAAAGCAAGGAGGAAGATCTATAGTGGATACACATCAGGGCATCTTACTAAAAAGTGTTATGACTACGAGTCCCATTATATGTTTCAAAGTAAATATATCTGCAAATAAACATATCATAAAAGAATAATAAGCACATGAAATAGCAAAATTATACTTTCAATTCACACCGAACAACTGTCACACTAATGTCCCAGATTATTGTTTAGTTGCTTCTCAAACTTCTTCCAAAAGGCCTGCCACTGTGATCCTGATCCTGAATGAAACTTATTTCAGTCAGCAGAGATTGAACTGAGCAGAGCTGAACAGGTTGCACAATTACTCAAAAAGCACAATTATTGGACTTATTTAATTTTGTAAAGCAATTCATTTAATTAAATTAGCTATTTGAAATGCCCTCAAAACCCACAGTAAATATGGACAATACAGAACATATTCAGTGGTGCACAAACCAATTAAAATATATGTATACAGGAAGATTAACAGCCAAACCCAGTTGAAAGTTTATATTGAATTGACAGTTAGAGTAAGATTGTGTTTCTTATTGTTTATTGTGTGGACACTTTCAATTAAATAAAAACACAACTTATAATTGTAAGGTTCGGTAGTCATTGTTAAATGTACTGCAATAATAAATAAATAAAACAACTAGAGAAAATGCAATGGAGGACAATTATATTTTTATTCAGTTTCCAACTTCATTTGCAAATCATTTTTCGAGGATATACGTGTCTGTGTGCATGCACGTGCGTTTTTTAGGCCTCTCGAAAATAACATTTCATGACAGTCTCGTATCGAAGCGTTGGGTTTACGTTTACGTTTAATTATCGTTGTTATTATCTTTAGGAGAAATGAAAAGCACATACATGGTGTCCATAAAATATAAATGTTCCTCTAAAAGCCACGCCGTGTGTAGGCCTACATGTGCCTTTTTAAGAAGGTTATATTAAAACACTATAGATGCGTTTTCAAATAAGTGTATTCTGCTGCTGTACGCAATTATTATAAATATTATTATCACTGTCTCATTTTTACTTTATAGTCTCCTGTAGTAATAGTCATTCATATTTTATGGTTACTATAAGCATACACTTCCCTTGACTGTAATAGTGCTATGATTTAGTTTATTACATTTTGTTCAAAGAGAGGAGTTTGCTTTGTCTTTATCTAACAGTTTTTCATTTTAATATCAATATAATATTCAGGCCTAATACTATTATATATCTATATATATATATATATATATATTGTTGAGACGAAATACTTTTTTTTAATCCTACAATTCTTCTTTATTCTTTTTCTAAAATCAGCCCACGTGAGAGCTGGCCTCTGAGGCTGGATCTGATGATATTTAGTATTATTCTAAAGAAATAGAATCCTCTCCCACGTTAGCCTGATTTACGTCAGGCTAACGGATGTCATACATTTTCTACACTGTATTTCTTCCTTCATGACTCTGTGCCCTCGTGCCTCTCTCCTACAGTCCATGCCGTGTATGCCCGGGGAGCGCGTGGCTCTGTGCGCGGGCTGCGGCAGGAAGATCGCGGACCGGTACTACTTGCTGGCGGTGGACAAACAGTGGCACATGCGCTGCCTTAAGTGCTGCGAGTGCAAGCTGAACCTGGAATCAGAGCTCACCTGCTTCAGCAAGGACGGCAGCATCTACTGCAAGGAGGACTACTACAGGTAGGGTCCACTGTCCATCCCATAGTGTCAGGGCTGCTAAGTGACACCGTTTGAGCCGAATGTCATTCCAAAAATACTTTATATTTGTCTTTCCCTTGATTTAACAAAAAATAAATCAGGTTTATTTAAAAAAACACACAATTAGCATTTTTTGCTACGTCACATATGGTGTATGGGTTTACAAAAACTGATACTGAAATGTGTGCACTGAATACATGTCATATATTGTGCCATAATTAAATATCTAAATAAGACCCTAGTTCCATTACTTTTCTCAGTATGAACATATACAACAGAAAGAAAGTAAAAACGAAAAATGGAAAGAAAGAAAGAACAAAATGAATCATGCTGACTTTCTGTGGGTCTAGCAGCTCTCTATAGAAAGACCCCCCCACACACACACACACACACACACACACACACACACACACACACACACACACACACACACACACACACACACACACACACACACACTTGCAGCCACTGACGAGTTTCTGTGTTGTCCGCAGAAGATTTTCGGTGCAGAGGTGCGCTCGGTGCCACCTGGGGATCTCGGCCTCGGAGATGGTGATGCGGGCCCGGGACCTCGTGTACCACCTCAACTGCTTCACGTGCACCACCTGCAGCAAGATGCTCACCACCGGGGACCACTTTGGCATGAAGGACAGTCTGGTGTACTGTCGGCTGCACTTTGAGACTCTCATCCAGGGAGAATATCAGACTCATTTTAACCATGCGGACGTTGTCCCGCACAAAGGCCTGGGCCCGGCCAACACTCTCGGACTATCCTACTTCAACGGCGTGGGCTCGGTGCAGAAGGGCCGACCCCGGAAGAGGAAGAGCCCCGGGCCGGGGGCCGAGCTGGCGGCTTATAACGCAGGTAGGAGCATTTATAAAGCATGTTGCGAAGGAAAGCTGGGTCATTTAAAGCAATACAGACTGCTTTCATCAATGTAGGCCTATATCATTGATTTATTTTTGGTTCTTAATTTTTTTTATGCGATCGTGCAAAATATTAAAAATATATATCATCGCTGCCTATTGTAAATTAAAGGTCTCTCTCGGATCAAACCCGTTATTATGAAAGCTCTCCGGAACATTCCTGCATGTCGGGTCTGCGCCCTGCTTGTTGTCGGCTTTTTGTGGAAAAGTTGACATGTGTTTTTTTATAACCTGCAATTACATATCTCTTAAATATGTATATGTTCGTATCTTAATCTAAGCACACAACAGTTCTGAACACGCCTTGTGTCACTTTCATTCAGTGAGGCAATGTGCTAAATAATGACTTTATAGCAAAACTGTTCCACATTTCTTTAAAGTTCTATAGAAGTTAGTTTTGGTTTTGTCAGGAGCTGTGTGTTGTGTTCAGGACCTTCACATTATTATAGTCTGCAGTTGCAGTGAGCTGATGCTTTCTGTCAGAATGTCCATGTGGAGGCCAAGCATTGTGCATGAATAAACCTGAACACTGACTGCACAAAGACAAGAGCATGCAGGCCAATAGGAGGCCAGGCAGGAGCAAATAGGCCTCCACAGAGAAGAAGGACAAATCAATTGTTAAATGGTGGGAAAAGGGATGTACAGTCTAACGTTTTTTAATACAAAAATAGCAGATATACTAACAGTTTGAAGTTCCACGTGTCAGATATGTGGATTACACTTTTCAAACGGCTTCATTTCGATTTCAGTAGGTCTACAATCTGCAGCAGTCTACGGTTTGTAACATCTCTGACTGTTGTAAATGATCATCTTAAAAATGATTATGTTTAATGCTTAGTCATGTTTCATTTAATGCGATCTGTGATAAAGAAAAACGTTTTTGGATGCTCTGGCTTTTGCTTTGGCCCTTATTCACTTGTCAGTTTACATAGACATCTACAGACCTCCCCCCCACGCAACACACACACACACACACACACACACACACACACACACACACACACACACACACACACACACACACACACACACACACACACACACACACACACACACACACACACACACACTGGGGCAGGGTCAGCCTTGGTATGTTCCAGAGAAATCAGTGTGATGTGAAAAGTTATTCACCGGAATAGAGAGCAGGAAACTTCCTGAAGGTAGAACTGTCTGGTTGGGTCTCATTTTTAATTATTTAGTTAGTAAATCTTCCTATTACTAGTGTAAAAAGAAAGTTGATTACAATCCCATCCAGTATATTTAGTTAATAAATCTTCATCTTTTTGATTTTGACAGTCTTGGTTGATTTAAATAAGTTGCTCCCATGTAAATAATCACCCCCCCACACTAGTTTCCACTGGAAGACTTCTTTTTACTGTGTTTTCTACCTGAGCCAACACATCACTTTCTTTATTTTAAGATGCTGCCACTTATAATCATTATAATTAACGATAAAAGTAAACTGCTCGAAAACAAGTCAAATGTTTCCACCTATCAGTGTTGGACTTTGCTTTAAGAAAATAGTTTGTTCTGAAATTATAAGAACAACATATTTCATCAGGAAGGTAACAAGGAGAAAGGAAGCCTAGTTTCAGAGCATTGTGTGTTTTTGGTAAATACACTGAAGAGAAATCCTGTGAAGAGAGTCAGGAGAGGGAGAAGTGCGCCCTCTTCTGTTTCAGACCAGAAACAACACTAGCTTCCCCTGAGCCAGGACTGAGAACATGTGGAGTCCTGAAGCTCTGAGGAAACATTGCGAAAAGTGTGTGTGTGTGTGTGCGCAGCATCTTAACAAAAAGCAGCCTGTATCCTGTGTGTGTGCTCAGACACACACACACACACACACACACACACACACACACACACACACACACACACACACACACACACACACACACACACACACACACACACACAGGATACAGGCTGCTTTTTGTTAAGATGCTGCGGCATATGCTTTGGCCGGAAAGCAGCATTTGTTCGGCCTGGTGTGTACGGACTAATTAAGTGAAGTGTTATTCTGATGGTTTCACTCACTTCATATTCATCATTTGCGTTCTGATATTGAACACGAACTGTTATGCATGCAGCAACACTTTGTATATTGCCAAGAAATCTGCAAACTGGGACAAATACACGTGTGTTGTTGTTGTGTGTGTGTGTGTGTGTGTGTGTGTGTGTGTGTGTGTGTGTGTGTGTGTGTGTGTGTGTGTGTGTTTGTGTGTGTGTGTGTGTGTGTGTGTGTGTGTGTGTGTGTGTGTGTTTGTGTGTTTGCTGAAGCCAGGCTCCCACCTCCTACCAGGACAGAAAGACATGTAGAGACAGACAGACAGATTTGACAGCCTCAGTTCAAAATTTTCTTTCTTTCTTTCTTCATAAATCATTTTCTCCACTCCTCAAACTCAACATTAAGTGTATATTACATATAATGTTGCATTTCTTACTATGCTTGCTCATAGTTGTGGTTTCCTAAGAGTTTATGATCACATATTTTTTGGTTTTTGAGGTTTGAAAAGAAAAATATAATTCTTATACAATGCATTTCCAGATGGTCTGTGCTTAAAAAATTAGCAGGCTTTCATTACTGGGCTCATGGATATATTAGGAGCTAAATAGTGTGTCACTTAAAGAGGAGAGCCTACAGTGTTCCATACAAACAGCCAATCAGAAGTGAGGGATTGAACACGTCTCAATAATGATGGTTGTGATTGAATCTGTGTCTAACCCGCTGTCCTCTCCTGTCGCAGCGCTCAGTTGTAACGAGAACGACGGCGAGTCCATGGACCGGGACTCCCAGTACAGCTCCAGCCAGAAGACCAAGCGCATGAGGACGTCCTTCAAGCACCACCAGCTGAGGACCATGAAGTCCTACTTCGCCATCAACCACAACCCAGACGCCAAGGACCTGAAGCAGCTGGCCCAGAAGACCGGCCTCACCAAGAGGGTCCTTCAGGTACCCACAGCTATACTGTCCTCCACTGTCTTTGTCTGTCCTCCACTGTACTATACTGTCCTCCACTGTCTTCTTCTGTCCTCCACTGTACTATACTGTCCTTAACCGTCCTTATCTGTCATCCGTTCTTTATTGTCTTTCACTTTCCTGCACCATCCTTTAAGGTCTGTGTCTGTTCTTTTCTGTCATTTTCTGTGCCTTTCTGTCCTTCACTGTCCTCCACTGTCCTTTACAGTCTTTTTCTGTCCTTTACTGTATTATACTCAATGGTGTAGGAGACAAATGCTATCAGGGGTTAAAGAGCTTCTCTTGTTTTCTGCACATCAAGCTTCTTCCAAATGTAAAATAAAGAAGTGAGGTTTTACTGGAAGGAGCCCACTGCTTATTTTAAGATGTTTCTATTCCGGTGAAATTCTTGGAAAGAAAACTGCAAACAAGCTGAACAAAATCAGAAAGAAGCCTTTTTTCTCACTTAGATTAAAACATTTAAGAAACTATTTTTAAAAGCTGCATAAAAAAGAATCAGATATTCTAATTACCTCAAGCAACGATAAACATTACAACATTCAATGCATGTTTTTATAGAATGCAAAGTTACCTCTGAAAAGAAAGCCATAAAACAAATGTGATGTAGTATTTCAGTGGAAGATATGATGTTATGTTGAGTACTGAGAGATGAAAAACAAAAACCTCTGTAGTACACACAAAGAGAGAGGAAGCACAACACAGCGTTTGATTTCCACAAAAGACGACAGCAAATTATCTGGGGGACTGAGAAGAATAAAACTGAGACAAAAAGGTTTCTAAATCAAATTCTTTCTGAGGAGGAAAAAAATCCTCCCGCTGCTTTAATTAACGCTTGCAGAAAACAAAGCAGTCGTTTTGCTTTGATGCATTCCAGTTTTCACGCCTGTTATTCCAGCTGAAGCCGTTTCCCATGGCTCCGTCATGATTCCAGCACTAACACTGCTACACTGCAGACTCAGATTCTCATTTTCAGTATTGAAAAAGAGAGCAAAGATTTGTAGTGTATTCAAATAGTATAACATTAACACCAGGGAGAATGAGGAGCAGGATACGTGTTTCAAAAGTGTGCTGCAGGGCCTTTTTAACGAGAGTAATGACTGAAATCATAGCTGCTTTTATCCCTATACACACACACTATAGACAGGTCAATTATTATCTTTTACACTATCATCTAAAGCAGGAAGCCAAGGCTCTACTTTCATGAGCATACATGAAAGAAAAGTGTATTTCTGTGGCTACCACTGGCTTTGACTGGAGAGAAAGGCTTTTATGAGTTTTGTACACAGCGTTGTGTTTTTAAGTGTTCTTTTATCCTTGACTCTAATTCGCAAACACACTTTTTAAAGGCACGAGGAGATGCTCACCCGTGTGTGTTGTGCTGCAGTGTGGCGAGTTAATATAAGTCTACTTGTGTTTCTGCAACATCAAAAATTATTCTTTGCAGTTTTGCTGCAAAAAGTCCATCAAACTAAAAACAGCAGCAGGATGTGTCAGATTTGGTGAGGGCTTGGTTACATTTAGACTCAAAACGTCTGGGTTTTGGTTAGGGAAATAGCTTCTGTTGAACTGCTAATTGATGCACTGTGTTAACCAGAATCAGAATACCTTTATTTATGAGGGGACATTGACATTGTTACAGCAGAAAAGAGCCAAAGACAGCTTAATGTCCATCGATTTCAGCATAGTTTGAAACATTTGATTACACAGATTCTGAATTACCTCTAGTTGTGTGAATTATATAAATGTACACTATTATATATTTTATTTATATTTATATATATTTTATATTTATTCATTTCCTGGTTTATAATCCCGGACCTTGCACGGAACAAAGAAAGACAAAGAAATTATACATGTGAAAATATGTCTGTGTTGTAAGGACACTAGTTCTAGAAGGAGATGCTACATCCGAAATGTTTAAACTGTCCTTTATACTGATGATGAGATCCATAAATGGTGAAGACCTATATCTAAAAACGTTGAACCTATTATTTTTTATTGAAACTTAATATTATTGCTTTTAACTAAACCAATATTATTATATGAAATATGTTGACATCATACATTTAATTAAAGTCAACGTTTCAGTTGTTTCAGTGTAGATGGATAAAACAGATAACATTAGAGATACAACAAATATATTTGTTTGTGTAATGTAAAGCTGACCCGTTGGTAATGATTAAATATGAGGGTCTTCAGGTGGTCCGTTCCTATAGTAACAGGATGATGTTGTTCCTGCAGGTCTGGTTCCAGAACGCCCGGGCCAAGTTCAGGAGGAACCTGCTGCGGCAGGAGAGCACGGGGGGGGACAAGGCCTCGGACGGCTCCACGCTGCCGGGGGGGACGCCGTCGGGCCCGGCCTCAGATATCTCCAACGCCTCCATGAGCCCCTCCAGCACCCCCACCACCCTCACAGACTTGACCAACCCAACCATGCCCACCGTCACCTCAGTGCTCAGCTCCGTGCCGGGCGGCATGGACGTCCACGAGTGCCGGAGCCCGTCACAGACCACGCTGACCAGCCTCTTCTGATGCCCTCCCCTCCCCCTCTCAACTCTGCTCCTCCCTACTGGATCTAAAACTAAGAACTGTTGACTCCTTCCAACATTACATGGATTAGAGAAGAGAAGGTAACGGAAACATGAAAAAATAAATAATTTCGCTCTGAGCCCATTAGAGACTATTTGCATAGTGAGGCGGCCGGGCCTTATACAGATGGAGCAGTTGTTGTTATTTTGATGTTGTTGTCTTGTCGAGAACTGAGGAGACTTGATTTGCATTTTTCAATGTTTACAGAAAGAGACTGCGGGAAAAAAGAAACTGCTTAATTTTTAATTCATTCATTTTTTCCAGCACAGTATTTATGTTGTTGTTCAAGAGTCACTGTTAGAAAGGATTGTAAAATATTCTTTTTTTGAAAATCTGAGATTAAACACAGGTTACAATATTCTACGACTGCCCCGTGCCTCACAGTCCACTTCATCTCAAATAGCATCACACAAAATGATTGCACTGCAAGAGAGTCATGACCTCCATTTGTACATGTGTGTGTGCGTGTGTGTCTGCATGTGTGTATTTTACATACAGTGATACGCAGTGTGCAGCGCTTTCATTTCTAAAGCTCCATTCAGTGGTTAGGTCTGATGAGAGCTGGACAAACGAATGATTCTCCTCGTCATGTTTTTACCTCTCTTTCTCACTTTGTCAAAAACAGGATTCAAGCAGAGCTACACCAGGATGCTATGTTTGAAAAGCAATTATTATTGAATCATTTAAGTTGAATGCACTTTTAGAATTGGCAAACTGGGACAGAGGTCACATACAGAACTGAGACGGGGGAAATAAATGGATTATCTCACATCACATTTTCTTAGACTAAAACTTATCATTTTGTTTATAATACAACACATTTACTGTGAAAATCCTGACACTGGTGGCACTGATCAGATCCTGACTGAGCTCTCACAATTATACAAACATCCCTGCTGATCCTACTTTTCTTTTTCCATGATGTGATAAACAAACTACATTTTTTGGTGCTCTTTTAGTCTTCCGGTCACTCAGTATTCACCCTCACACACTGATCAGCGTCATAGAAGGTGTGAAGACACTCACAAGCGATCAGGGTTCATTCTCTTGCCGGTCTTCCCGTCAGTGGACGAGCGGCTCCGGAGCTGCAGCTGCCTCTCAGTGTACACACAGTACTACTACACACAGTACTACACACAGTAATACACACAGTATTTTATACTGTCAACGTTTCAGTATTTTTCAGTGTATGCTTTTGTGATTCCTCCAGAGCTCATAGTGGAAGTTCAGACACTGAGAGGTCGGGGTTCATATATATGTAAATCCATACTGATTAACATAGCTGACATCTCTCAGTATACATTTTGGCTTCTTGTTTCTTGACATTTGCATTGTTACTCATAACCATTCACTTGCATTTTGCTCATTAAGCTTGTTATAAGTTTGTTTCTGGATGGAAAGACCTGACCTGAGTGCAGTGAAAAAGTTAGGGTGTCATTCTCTGGGATGGCCTACTGGGCACAAAACCTGGTGGTATTATTGTCTGTTTTCCATCTTCACCTAAGTTTAATAATGAGGGTGCAGTTTTCAACTAATCGCTATCACATTTGTGAGAAACTAAATGCAAAGAGAGAATCTGGAGAGAATCAGCGAGTCTGGCAGGATACATCTGTGTTCTATTAGTATTATAGGGGGCTTTATGTATACAGTCCAAGGTGTCCAATGTCTCATAATCTGCCCATACTCTGTAATCAGTGAAAATTATTAATAATTAATATGGGAAATGTAGGAAAATAATTCCAATTTCGAAGTAAACAAATAAGATTCAGGTTTTTGGGTACACCAAATTTGAATGAAAAGGACTTCTGAGATGACGTATGAAGTAAGATTACAATTTGTTTCGATTAATTAATTAATTAATTAATTAAGTATGACACTATATTATTGTTGCCCTTATATAAACAGGACTTCATCATGTTCAGATATCAAAGTTAATACTTATTATGCAGACTGACCCGACCTCTGCCGGAAAACCATGCTTTAAAACTTTAAAAAACACAACAACAAAAAAACGTGAAACTGACTCGGTATCATCATTCCTTAAAGTACAAATGTACATGTCATGCATCAAATCAGAAGTGTGTGTGTGTGTGTGTGTGTGTGTGTGTGTGTGTGTGTGTGTGTGTATGTGCACTGCTGCAACCTCCTGTCTCTGAATATTATGTCTGATTATATCATTTCACGAGGACCGTTCATTGAACCCTTCTTACCGAATGTGGCATTAAAATAGAAGAAATCCCTCACTGTTAAGCTACCAGCCTGTTTTCCAGATCTCAGGCTCGAAAATAACATTCCCAGAACAATTGACTATAACTTCCCTTCTAAAAGGGGTAAATTAATCATCTTTTTTCTCAAAGTAATGATAAACCTGTGAGTTGGATGTAGAAAAGTCAGAATCAATATAGAATGTTTTTATTTTAAAGTAAATTCAGATTGAACATAGTAAAAATGTAAATTATAGTGTCCGTCCAAAAAAAAAAAAACATTACTTATAGTGAAAACCATCCTTGAATGATGGGATAGTAGACTAAAAGCTTTAAGAATCCAAACTATAACATATACTAACGCTGTATAAAGATTGATGCAAAAAAAGTGACATTTGACCTTTTTAGAGAGGTTTAGCAAAAAAAAAACACTTCTGGGGTCATTTGGGTGCATTTTCCATATCTCTGGCCCCCCTCGGTCGATTTTGATGATTGACACCTCTTTTGAATCGTTAGAGCCAATGGAATCGAGGGGAAGTTTCTATCCTATAAATCCATCTAAACATTACCCATCTAAAAATTACCCATTGGTGAATGAGTGATGCATAGCCAGAATGCCCAATACCAGAAGCTGTCATACACTCTCGTAGCAGCTAATATGAAATCTCCGTTATTGACATAAAAATAGAATGACGGATTATCAGTAATAATTTCAAAGTGACACAGACACATTGGATTAACCTTCAGCAGCGGTTTTATCGTTTTAATGCCATTGAAGACCACTTTTGATCAGAAGCAGCAAAAGGTAAGACAAATTGGCCGTTTTTTGCTACCTAAAGCTACGTTGTGTGATGCCTGGTTTTGCTTCCCATGTCGCGGGTTCTGATCAATTGTTTGTGCAGATCTGATAAGTAATAACGGTATTTTACCGTGAGTTCTGTGCTAAGTGCGTTAGCATTTTTTCGCTCAGGGCTAATTCAGAGCCTTTGTTATTACCTTTTTGTTTCGTTTAGCTAAAAATGGTTAATATTGTCTGAAAGCTGAGTTTCTTCCCGTTAAGTGAGTATGACACATTCATAGTTTGTTAAATGTTAAGAAGCCCTCAGACGCTGTTTCTTGCAACCAGTTAAGTCATTGCCATTTCTACTGATCATAATTCCATTGTTGAGGTCAACTAAAATAGATTTATACTGTGCAATTTTCCAAACTCACATTGGTTTCTCATACAGCATCTCTGTATAGTATGTGTATTCACTCTCTGTCCTAAACAGCTTGTTGGAGCTCCTGCTCAGATTTGACATCAAGTGTGTGTGTGTGTGTGTGTGTGTGTGTGTGTGTGTGTGTGTGTGTGTGTGTGTGTAGCCCTCACTCCAGGAAATCAATCAGGTCAACCTAAAATATGGATGCCTTGGTCGAGCCTGGCTGAAACTGCATATCACTGTGAGGTCAAAACATACTGCAGTTCCAGTTACACATTTGTCAGTGTTATAAAAAAGAAAATTGGCCGCTTGCTCCACGTTAATGTGTGATGCGAATTTGATCCAGTTCTTACAAGGAGACAAAGAGCGTCACAGAGAAATACACAACTCATAACTGAAAACCTGCTCCATGGCAATAGATGATTATCTTATTATTTTTCCTATAAATTCTTATTCTAAGGACAATAGACGGTGTATTATTGATTTTCCAGGGCAGACTGGAAGGCTTCCACAGCTTCACATCATTACATTGTTTTGTCTCAGAATTGGTTGAATGCTGTCACAGCGGCCAGTTTGTCTGCTGGTTTATATGAGCATCATGGCAGCCATCAACCTTCACTTTTTATTATAGAAAATAAAAACATTTATAGTTAATGTAAACATTTTCTAGGGTTTTTTACTTTATCTTCTCTGATATCACTGATTTTCAATATTTTCTCTAAATCTCAACCAGGTTTTGTAATCAACATGATTACAGGATTATTCTTCTGTAATTTCCAATGTCAAGAATGCCACATTCCACTTCAGCTTCAGAAAAGTGAGGATTCATTTAGTTATACAATTTAAATAAGCCTATGGAAATCTGAATTACATTTTTTACTTTTTCTGACATTTGATAACCAGAAACAGAGGAAGAAAAAATAATAATCAAGAACATCACAAAATAATCTATAATAATGGAAGAAGTCATTTGAAGTTGTATTTTAAAACTGATATTACTTATGTAACCTGTATATCTTCCTCTGTAACAAACAGCTCTATCAAATGAGTGAGCCACACTGTGGCACTAATGATATATTCCCCCATTACCATGAACAGACTGAGGCCCAATTCCAAACCACACCCTACCCACTCCCACTCCGTGACGGAATGAACTCCGTGGAGTGACACATGAGGCTCCCTCCTGTCAGATGGAGGGAGTAAATACAGCGGCAAGCTTTGGGACAAACTCCCCTCTCTCCGGCAGAAACAGGAAATGCCGTAACTGTATGTAACAACGGTTTCAAATCAGCTTCTCTTTGACAAAAATAAAAAATGAATAACTAAAATAAAACTCCAAACATCTCTAATTGTGCTCTTTTAGTTTTAAACCTGATGTTTATAAGCTTCTTAGTTTGTGCAACAGTCTGTACATATACACAACTTTATATAGAATGCACACATTTACCTTTTTTAAACTAAACACAGGTATACGATCCTAAGTAAAAAAAAATATGAGGTTATCATAAGGTTGTTAACATCGCAATTTATCAGTGGATGTTTGCTGGAACTATACTTGTAAACTGGCTAGAGCAGTGGTTCCCAAAGTGTGGGGTGTGGGGCGTGCCCCCCCTGGGGGGCACAGAGGCATGACAGGGGGGCGCGAGAGACCAGGAGGAAAAATGGTTATTAAAAATATAAAAAAAATAAAAAAATCATAATTTGAAAAATGATTGATTCGAAAATAATATGATACAGTACTATTACGTCTGGGTCTCTGTGTTTCATTCAAGCTGGGCTCTGTGTGTGTGTGAAACGAGCCATTTTGTGTGCGTGCGCGAGCGAGAGAGAGAGAGCACACCGGAGATCGTGGTTGTTGGCTTCTGGTGCTAGCGAGCTACGCTAACGGATATAAGGAGTTTGTTCAACAACAAAGTGGAGGAGAGTCCTC